TACAAAATAAAATCGGCAATTGGTCTCGAAGTATGGGTGCCAAAAGTTAAAAAAAGTTCAGGTAAAATTGTTCTCCTTTTACAGGTAAAAATTATTAATAAAATTTTGTCCAAATTCCTTGTACGCCTCTAATAAAAAGATCATCTCTCGTTTCGATAGCAACATTTAGTCTTGACAAAAGTTTTTTTGTTCCACTTGCTAGGATTTACTAAAATTAATTAATTTTACCTATTTATCCTTTAGTAGCGTCTAAAAAGGTTGGATAAGGGTTAATTGCTAACACAAAATAAATTTTTCAGATTTCTTAGATTTCGCGAAGAACTGTCAATTTTGTTGTACGTACCTTTCAAGAACACATAAATAGTATTCTTTGAACAACAGGATACTTAAAAACATGTTTTTAATTTCTTGTAAAGAAATAAGTATTTTGGAGTTAAGCTCTACACCTTGGTACACGGCGAATAAATAAATCATCACAATTGAGATGGGGCGGGTGGGCGGGCTTATATTTTGTCTATTTGTTTTTAATATATGTAGACTTCTTTTCAGAACATGAAACTTAAAACATGTTTAAAATGGAAAGTTTGTATAATATCGATTTTGCAATTAGGTTCTGCCCCATAATTCCAAAACTCATATTTCCTTCCAAAAATGTAACATTTTAATCATGTTCTAAGTTTCTTGGTGTGAAAAGATGGATATGTATATTAAGAAAATAAAAAGTCAAAATAAAAACCCCGCCCACCCGCCCTATCTCAATTCTGATGATTTTTTTTATTCGTCGTAAGCCGAGGGGAGGAGTTTAATTGTAAAATCCTTATTTTTCTAGGAGAAATTGCCATGTGAAATACTTATGTTCTTAAGTAATCGTGTTATCCAAGAACACTAAATGTCTTAATTAAAAAAGAAAACCAAAAGAGAAGCCCCACCCATCCGTCTCGATCTCAATCGTGATGAATTTGTCATTCGTTGCCAGACCGAGGAGGGGCCGAGCATAATTGCAAAATTGTTATTTCCCTATACAAATTTACCATTTTAAACATGTTTAAGTTTCTTGTTGTGAAAAGATGACTACACTTATTAAGGAAAAAAGGCAAAATATATAATATACTACGTATATGATTTTTTTTTACCCGTCGTAAGTCGTGGGGCGAAGCTTAATTGCAAAATCCTTGTTTTTCTACGAGAAATTGCTATGTGAAACATTTTCTCGAATAATCGTGTTGATTAAAGTAAACTGTATGTACTTACTTATTAAGTAAAAAAGATATACAAAAGATAAGCCCCACCCATCCGTCTCGATCTCAATCTGGCCTTAATTTTTACTTAATATACCTAGTATTTTTTGAATAATACTATACTCAAAAACATGTCTTACGTGGTAATTTCTTGTAGATAAGTAAGGATTTTGCAATTAAGCTCCGCCCTCTTGACTTACGGCGAATAAAAAAAGTCATCAGAATTGAGATAGGGTGGGTGGGCGGGGCTTACACGTTGCCTTTTTTTTCTTAATAGAATGTAGTCGTCTTTTCACAAGAAAAACTTAAAAGAGATGACTACGTATATTGAGAAAAAATGGCATAATACAAGCCCCGCCCACCCACCCGGTCTCAATCGTGATGATTTTTTTCTACCAGTTGTAAGTCGTGGGGCGAAGATTAATTGCAAAATCCTTGTTTTTCCACGAGAAATTGGTATGTGAAACATTTCCTTGTGTAATCGTGTTATTTAAAGCAAACTATATGTACTTATTAATTAAAAAAGAAAACCAAAAGATAAGTCCCACCCATCCGTCTCGATCTCAATCTGGCGTTAATTTTTACTCAATATACCTAGTATTTTTTGAACAACACGATATTCAGAAACGTGTCTTACGTGGTAATTTCTTGTAGAAAAATAAGGATTTTGCAATTAAACCCCGCCCTGTTGGCTCACAACGAATAAAAAAGAAATCATCAGAATTGAGGTAGGGTGGGTGGGCGGGGCTTACACGTTGCCTTATTTTTCTCAATATACGTAGTCGTCTTTTCACAACAAAAACTTAAAACAGATGACTACATATGTTAACAAAAAAATGACATAATATAAGCCCCGCCCGCCCACCCGGTCTAAATCGTGATGATTTTTTTCTACCAGTTGTAAGTCGTGGGGCGAAGATTAATTGCAAAATCCTTGTTTTTCCACGAGAAATTGGTATGTGAAACATTTTCTTGTGTAATCGTGTTATTTAAACAAACTACATATATGTATTTATTAAGTGAAAAGAAAACCAAAAGATAAACCCCGCCTATCCATCTCGATATCAATCTGGCTTTAATTTTTACTTAATATACCTAGTATTTTTTGAACAACACGATATTCAGAAACGTGTCTTACGTGGTAATTTCTTGTAGAAAAATAAGGATTTTGCAATTAAGCTCCGCCCTCTTGGCTCTCGACGAATAAAAAAATCATCAGAATTGAGGTAGGGTGGGTGGGCGGGGTTTACCTTTTGCCTTTTTTTTCTTAATATACGTAGTAATTTTTTCACAACAAAAACTTAAAACAGATGACTGCGTATATTAAAAAAAAGGAATAATATAGGCCCCACCCACCCACCCTATCTCAATCGTCATGATTTTTTTTACCCGTCGTTAAGTCGTCGGGTGGAGCATAATTACAAAATCCTCATTTTTGTTCGAGAAATTGCTATGTGAAACACGAAATATAGTGTGAGGAAATGTCAAATTTTTCAAAATTTCACTTCCATGTAACGAAAAATCCACACGGGAGGCTCTTGGATTCATTAGTTTGGGAGCCCATGGAGATTTTTTTGTAAATTATTTAGAACAATTTTGGGGGAATTTGGTGTTGTATTTATGGAAAATTCTGACCTGACCTGTTTTTGAGTTAATTTTGAGACCACCTTTTTTTTAAATGTTAAACAATCTTGAGGTTTGGACAGAATTTGAAAGTGCTTTGGAGTCTCCAGTCTTATAATAATTTAATTAAATTTCTTAGAGGATACGTCATTTACTAGAATCAATTTTATCATAGTAGGTACTAGCCTCGCCCACCCGCCCTCTCTTTTCTTAGGCGATATATTATTTGCCAAAATCACTCTTACCTTAGCAGGTACTACATCCGGTATACATAGTGGAAAATTTCATTTTTGAAAATGTCGTCCAAAAACTCTCAAAAAATTAAGGGTTATAGATCTTGACGTGATGATTCCAAAAATAAATCGTGAGCAATATGTTCGAAAAATTGGGTGTGAAATTAGTTTTTTTTTTTTAATTTTTAAAAATTGCGATATTTCACTGGCCGATTCTAGAAAAACGGTTAGAGTGGGAAATTTCATTTGTGAACAAGCCAAGGGGGCGGAGCTTTATTGCAAAATCGTTATTTCTCTACAAGAAATAAGAAACATATTTTTGAGAATAGTGTTGTTCAAAGAATACTATGTATATAAGCAAAAAATTAAGCCGTACCCATATCCATCCCAAGTTCACTTGTGTTAAATTTTTCATTCGTTGTCAGACCGAGAGGCGGAGCCTAATTGTAAAATCGATACTTTTCTACAAAAATGTACCATTTTAAACATGTTTTACTCTTCTTGTTGTGAACATAGACTACACTACAAATATTAAGATTAAATATGGCATTCATTTAAAATGGAAAATCTAGAAAAACATTATAATAAATAAAAAAATATTTTTTTTCAAGAGAGTAACTGTTGGTCAATAAAATAGCCAGTTAACAAAGTAAGAGAATACACCGATATAGTTAGTTTTAATTTGTAAATGTATTGTAAGTGTTGTAAGTAATGATGAATTTTTTGCATGTAATGCCAAATTTCTCTGCACATATATGCGCATATTTACATGTTTTTTCTGCATATAGGTAATTCCGAGCTTTAATTATAACGCACATTTGATTCATAGAACTTTTGTTCCTAGTCCTAAGCGGTTTATTGGTGGCTTCCAATAAGCACAAAATCCACGTTCACGATTTGGCGGACTCTACTATACCTCCCAGTGAGCCACTACAAACAAAAACTATAACTTACACCGCAACATAAGCAAACATGAAACTACAGCGTTTCCACTAAGGTATCGGTTTCACATACCGCTTTTAACGAGCCGGCACTGGATGGAAGTGTATGAACGATCGTGTATATTATTCATAAAACTTCTAGCGCAAGATTTTATACTTATTGCATCTGTTTATTGCAGCAGCAACTGAAAACGACACCTACCGAGAAATAACATATCCTTATTTGGTGCAGTGGTACTAAATTGCCGTGGAAATTACACACCTTGCCAAGTTTTTATCAAAATAACCTACATGGATGAAGAATCTCTATAATTCGGCCATAAAAGTGTTACAAAATCCGCTAGTCGAAAGCATTCACTTTATTACCAACAAGAGCACTTTTTTTTGAGAAAAAATTACGAAACTACTTTGGCTGCAAAAGCAGTTTTTTCAGCCTCAAACATTAACCTACAATTTTTAACAAATCGTGGTATTCGGGCACAATTACGAGATTAAATTCATTTAAAGAGGGTTTGAAAGGAAGACAAAACTCGAATAACAAAGAGTGGGTAAAATTTAGAGGAACAATACTTTATTGGCACTTCTTCGGCCAATTAAGCCGCGACTGACAAAGCATGAACAATTAGCACCCAACCAATTTCTCGCTGCTTGTTAGCGGCACGAGACGTGGCAAATCGACGTGCCGCAAAAACCATAAACACCGCGCTTCCGAACAATGACATTTCACATTCGTTTTACTAATTTCGATTAAAAAAAACCGAAAGTCATCACAGGCCACGAGTGTCATCCGCTATCGAAAAGTAGGCGTGCCAAATCGTAAACAAAAGCATATCACTTTCACGGCCATCTGGTCGCCAACCGCTAAAAAACGAGAAGCCTCGGCGTCAATCTCGTAAACAAGTCACCGTCTCGTTCCGCAGCCACCTGCGATAATGCCTCAATCTCGCAAAAATAAAAATACCAACCTGGAGTCGAACTTGGTGCCGTCCGTCAGCGTCCCCGTGTAGTGCATGGTCAGCATATCCCCGCTTTTGGACTTCACATCACAGCCCTCCGGCACGCTGATCACGTCAATTTTCAGTTTTTCCGATCCGTTTTTATTTTTGTCGTCGCAGGCGACTAGATTGGCCGCGAGGGCCAGCGCGACGAACGTGAACGTGAACTTGGACATGACGCGACTACCAACACTACAGTACTGGTGAATGGAACGCGATCAAGAAGGCCGCCACGAGACTGCCACGATGTTTCGGCGACGTCACTGTTCTGTTTTTGTTTTACCGGTGCGGATTGAGCGGGACAGACGATTCGAAAGCCACAGGTCTGGCGCTGATTGGCGGAGGGGTACACGTGATTGCGCGTATGGCCTAGTTCTACCGCGATGTTCAAGAGTTGAGCGAAAGTTGGATGCGACGGAAATTGGGATTTTTAATCTCCGCAAATAGGCAAATACGCAACTTTGCAGACGGATATAAGTGTGATCGCTTACGTATAGGAAAGCAAAACTCCTTGATGTGTTCGAGCTTGTTGCGTAATACAGGGTTTTTCATAAATTATTCGTACGTCGAAGTGGACGCCGATTTGTTGTTCCGCTTGGTAACATTCATGTCAGTGTCATAATTATTCTGATATATTAATTAATCAAAGTTTTGAAATGTCCACCATTACAACGAAGTGGCAAATCTCCAGCACTGTAAATTTCACATGTCACTAGATGTACGAAATATGTATAAAAGCCTTGTATTACACAGTATAGCACTGACGCTGGAATACCGGTAGAGCTTGGTACGAAAAGGAGAAATTATTTAAACTGGTGATGTGGTTGTTAAATAATAATTAAACCGTGAAGTGAATATTGCAGATAGATTTACATTCAAACTAAAACAATTAATTTTTAGTGTCTGTCCGTCGGTCTGTCTGTCAGTCTGACATCTCTACCGTACTTGTACTTTACTAATCTAATTTGATTTTGTTTATTATTACTATATGACACCTCTGTCAAGTCAAAACAGAGTTTTACGTACCTCACAGAAAAATCTTTGTTTTAGGTTTCTGAAATATTTATATGGCTTATGCGTTATCAAGTTATTATAAAACAATGTAAAATACAATTTTAGAAGAGGTTTAGAACCATTTGACATTTTGATTACCCACTAAGCTTTATCCAGAGCCTGTAGAACAGTGACAAAAATGTGTTCATGTGTTTTCCACGAATATGAAATGTCTGTTAAAAAATATTCTAGTAATAATAGTCTACTATAAATATTTAGTACTTAAGTTTTTGTAATATATTATTTTTTGGAATCCTTATCTAATATTTTAAAAATTTTAATTTTAACGACTACATACATATTTAGTAATACATGTAAGTTATTTCAAAGTAATAATGTCAACATAATCATAATTTACGAAATATCTAATAAATCAGATTTCAAACTTCTGTAAAATATTTAGTAAGACTAAGGCACTATCTAACGTTAAATGAATAATATAGAATATATTAATTAAATTCATCATAAAATGTTGTTACATACGTTTGAATTGTGTAAAATTACATTTTATATTTTTATATACAAAACTCACTTGACACACACCTTATAAAACTTTTATGACTTAAGCGGATTAAGCCAAACCACCCTTATAACACAAACTGGCTATTGTAAGCTTTATAAACCCGAACCGCAAGGATTATTTTACTGTTCATCGTTGTCATAATGGAGCTGTAAAGTTTTACTAGGTATATGTGAACTGAGTTAAGTTATATAAAAGCCAGTTTGACTTATAAAGGTAAAATTTTTACAAGTTGTATGTCAAGTGAGTTTTGTATATAGGTTGTTTAAAAATAAATTGGTCATCCTGTTTTTAGATGGTTCTAAAAAAAATATGAATTCCTTCATCAACTACAGGTGCAAACTTAATATTTTGCACATTCTAGATAGGATTTATGAAGCAAAATTTTATTTTTTTAATTTTTCGATAGTTCAATTTTTCCATCTTCCAATTTCTTAATTTTTAATTTTTCAATCTATAGATTCTTCTGTTTTTTCAATTTTTCAACTTATCAACAATTTTTCACTTAACAATTTTGTAATTTTACGATTTTTAAATTTTTCGATTTTCACTTTCTATTTTTCAATTTTTCAAATTTGCTACTCCTATTTAGCAATTTTTAAATTTTTCAATGTTCATCAATTTTTCGATATGCCATTTTTCAATTTTACAATTTTTAAATTTTTCGATTTAAAAATTTTCAGTTTTTGATTTTTCAGTTTCACAATTTCCTGATTTTCCAATTTAAAAATCTTTCGATTTTTTGGTTTTTTCGATGATTTAGTTTTACGATTTTTGAATTTTTCAAAATTTCAGTTTGAATAGATTTGCTTTTTTTGTTTTGAAAAATTGAAAAATCGAAAATCTGAGAAATACATTCATTGAAAATTGAAAAACCTAAAAATCGATAAATTGCAAAAACGCAAAATTGAAAAAACACAATTGGCTAAACGGATAAACGAAAAATTGAAAAATCTAAAAATTAAAAAACTGGAGAATTCTGGAATTTATCGATTTTTAGATTTGTCAATTTTTAAGTTTTCAATTTTTTAGTTTCCTGTCTTCTCATTCTCCGATTTATCGATTTTTCAAGTCTTTTATTTGAATCTATATCCATTCTTCACAGTTTCAATCGAATTTTCAGTTTTAATTTTTTTTTATTTTTCAAATTTTAATTTTTCAAATTTTAATTATCCAAGTTTTAATTTTTCAATTTTTAATTTTTCAATTTTTGAATTTTGAATTTTTGAATGTTTAATTTTTCAATTTTTCGATTTTCCCATCTACTTGTTCTTCCATTTGTCCATTTCTTGAGTCTTATTTCAAACACAATTCATTTTTCACAATTTCAATCGAATTTTCAATTTTACAATTTTGCAAATTATCGATTTTTAGATTTTACAATTTTTCGTTTTTTCCATTTTTCTATTCTTCAAATTTTCAATTCTTAAATTGTAAAATCGGAATTGCTGTTTTGCAAATTATCCACTTCAATCTCTTAATTTTTCAATTTTTTGGTTCTTCGATATTTTTATTCTTCGATTTTTTTATTCTTGATTTTTTAATTTTACAATTTAGCAATTTTTTTTAAATTTAAATTTTTTAATTGAAAATCACAAAATTCAAAAGTCTAAACATTGAAAAATTCAAAAATTGAAAAATCGAGGAACTCAAAAACAAATAAAATTGTAAACAAAAAAAATACATAAATTGTAAAATCGAAAATTCCCAAATAGGAAAACCGTAAAATTGATTGTTCTGAACTTTAAGCACAGGGTTGAGATATCGTCACAGGTCGTTAACAAAAATTATTTCTTTTTTAGTCAAAATTTTGATGACGTTATTACAAAAGTTTGCTAAGTTAACCATATTTAAAATGTGTAATATAATACGAGCTTATAATTTTTAAATTTTAAATTTTTAAATTTTTCGATTTCTCCGTCTTCTTATTCATCCGTTTGTCGATTTGTCGAGTCTTTTATTTAAATCACAAGTCATTTTTCACAATATTAATCAAATTTTCAATTTTACGATTTTGCAAATTATCGATTTTTAGATTTTTCAATTTTTCAGGTTTTCCATTTTTCTATTCTTCAAATTTTCAATTCTTTGATACTCAAAAATTGCAAAACTGAAAAATCGAAAAATTGCAAATCTTAAATTGTAAAATCGAAATTGCCGTTTTGTAAATTATCCACTTCTACTTTTTAATTTTTCAATTTTTTGTTTTTTCGATTTTGTTATTCTTGATTTTTTGATTTTACAATTTAGCAATTGTTTTAATATGTATTTATATTTTTCGATTTTTCATTTTTCAAAAAAAAAGCACATCTATTCAAACTGAAATTTTGAAAAATTGGAAAATCACAAAATTCCAAAATCGAAACATTGAAAAAATCAAAAGTTGAAAAATCAAAAACAAATAATATTGTAAACAAAAAAAAAACTATAAATTGTAAAATTGAAAATTCGCAAATCGAAAAACTGAAAAAATTGATTGCTCTGAAATTTAGCACAGGGTTGAGATATCGCCATAGATCGTCAACTTTTTTTTACTTTTGGGTTACATTTTAAGCCTTTTTCACCCTTTTTTTCTAGCCCTTTTTTCTCCGATCCAGAAATGAAAAGTACATATCAAATTTTTGAACAATCTGTCTAGTAGTTTTAACGAATATCGATCTAATACAAGCACCAACAGACGCCAGACACACGGAAATATGTGACCTACTTTTTCATACCCAGCTCTTATAAAACGTCTGGAACAGATTAAATTAGCCGTCTTAGAAAGTAAGTGAGTAACGAACTCCTTTAACACCTTGATAAATCTGAGTCACATAAGTCAACTTTAGTACATCTAATTACTTTGAGCAGAAAAAGCCAAATGTACAAAGTGAAGCAAAAGTTGGAACCCTTGAAAGATTTCAAAAATTGTTTTTGTTAACTATCTGAAATTTTATACAGATTTTACAAAATTTAATAAAATGCAGTATACCTATACTGCACATAATTAAAAAAAAAATTCTTCGACTAGTGGCTGAAGCTCAACGTGGATATGATGTTTTTTTATGTAACACAGTTCACATTCATACCCGAACGGTGTTGCTATGTGGCAACTCAGTTTGCTGGAACCCAGAGTCAAGTAGAAAGTGGAGTCTAAACCCAAAAATTTTGCCAAGATTAAAGAAAACCATTATTAATTGTGGCTCAAATTAATTTGAACAAATAATATTACAATTATAAAGAACAACCGCAGGAATCTACATATGCTTGACGGCTTTACCAAAAAGTTGCATAGCGAAAATCTGGTCTGTTTTTTTCTACACAAAGATTTCTTTACAAGGAAACGATAACTTGGTCGAACCAATTTGTTGGATTTAGTATAGAATTGATAAATTGGACGGAAATTAAATGAATTACCGTGAATTACCTTGAATTTGCTTTAAATTACTAAAATTAAATGTAAATTAGGCACAGAAAGTTTGTAGAATATATATATATATAGAAGAAAAAAGTGATTTTGTATTACCATTCATAACAGGTTTGATTTGTAAGTCAAGGTTCTCATGTTTTTTCGTCAACCTTTTAAATTTAAATGGTTCTATATTGGTTATTTGTTGATTTACCAGCCTTACGCAAAACTAAATAAGAGAAACTGAACACAAAGAGTTCCAGACAGAGAGTCTAAAAATTCAAATCCAGTAATTCAACAGGAATTGAAATTATTAAT